GGCTGCCCAGGGAAGTGGTTGAGTCCCCATCCCTGGAGGTATTTAAAAGACACGTAGATGAGGCGCTTAGGGACATGGTTTAGTGGGCATGGTGGTGTTGGGTCGATGGTTGGACTCGATGATCTTAGAGGTCTTTTCCAACCTCAATGATTCTATGATTCTATGATTCTACCTAAATGCTCTGGTTAAAAATCCATCCATCGCTAGCATTTGAATAACACCACCATCTATGGTGGTGTTGAGAGGTGTTTCTGAATAATTTTATGTAATTTTATGAAAAAAATGTAGTCTTTTCTGTGTTACCTCTAACAAATAGTAACAAATAGTAAACAAAAATTCTCTTTCCATTCTGGTTAATGCACGTAACCTTCTGTGCTGTGATTAAAAGATAATGCATCTGTTACGGTCCTAGCTAGCTCATGTTCAAGCACTTGGTGCTCAGCACTGGAAGTCCTGAAGGTCCCAGGATCTGTCTCAGTGTCGGCTGAGACAGTGGCTGTCAAATACCCAGCCCTCTCACGACATGAGTAATCCTCTTCTTACAAAAACTGCTAGAAAAGGATGCCTTCTTGGCCTGGACTACTGTTCGAGTATATCTTTTCACACTGAAAAAGACTAAATGTTAACAAGCATGATTTCTTAGAGGATATTATTGCTACTCACCAAATGGTAGCAATAATTATTTTTAAAAAGAAGTTGAAATAAGAGTTTCAAGTATCCCCTGCTTTATTTTCTAACTTAATATAAGAGAGGATGGGAAGCGGAGACAAATTGGAGCAGAACTTTTGTCCTGTCCTTTCCATAAAACATTGAAGGACTATACAGCATAGGAGTGCAGGGACTTGAAGAACTGTGACTGAGCAGTTTTAGGGAAGACCACAAACTAATCACATTACAACGTGGTGATAGTTCAGTGCAGTCATGGTGTTGTATCAACGTACTATGATATTTACGGTGTGTGGGAATTTAAGGACATTGTTTTATCTTTATTTTTCCATGTACTTTTTGCACTTTAGGAAGAAGTACATTTATTTCCTTCCTTTACCCTTTTACCTCTCTCCCAGTCCACAGTTTTGGAAAATAATTGGTCTGTTTATTCTTATCAGAGATGTACAATCAGCGGCGAAGGAGGAGATTTTTTTTTCTGTTTCTTTTTCACTTGTTTGGACGGTGCTGTCAGTCCTGAGGTTGCAGTTCGCCTCCAACTCATCAGTGCAAATGAGGAGTTTGCTCTCTAGTGAACAGGGACAAAGCAAAAGCCATGTCCTGCTCATAAGGTTCTGTGATGGGAAGAATCTTAGTCCTTGTTGTCTGGTATTTTAGGGTGTTCTATCTTACTGTCGCCTTAGGTGTATTTGATTTCTTCCTGTACTAGCAAACGTTTACAAAGTCTTTTCTTTAACCTTCTGCCCTCCAGTAGACTCCCCCACACACCAACAAAAAGCCAGGCTTTAGAGGCTTACTGATGCAATGTAAATGTGTGCAGAAATTCCCCTTTCCCTCCTCCAAACCCATCTTACATTACTCGTTTTCTGCTCTCTGTGCCAGTGGCATTTGGGGGTAGGGAAGGTGGGAAAGAAGCTTGCAAACACTTAGTCCTGGGTGCAGTGGCAGGGCCATTGAGGAGGAGGTGGATGAGAGGAGACCGAATCTCCTCTTGTCACCCTCCACTGAGAGGAGCCCTGGAAGTTACTCAGCAGGGCCTGCAAACCTGTTTGAGAGGGAGCTGTTTGCCTGTTGCCTTTTTCCTTCTCAGCGTGGAGAGTGACTGTTGCAACCACTTGGTTGCTTAGGGCTCTGCGTCCTGCCTTGTGCGATGCGTAAGGAACAGGAGGAGATCAACCATCAGAAGCTACTGACTCCATGTAAGCTGTGGCGCTGCAGTTGGAGCTATGAAGACAGTTGTAGGTGGAACAGCGCAAGCTATCGAGTATGACAGCTCAGCAGAGTAGCAATCTCATTTTGTTCCCATGACAAGACTACATCTATTGGCAGGGGATACTGCCCACCTCTCTCTGCCTGGCTAGCCAAAGCACCAAATGCATCGGTACTAATGGGAGTAATTCTAAAGGTATCAGGAAAACAACTTGCCTTGTTCATAGATCCAGAAGAGGAGGGGAAGCATGCACCCACTTCCAATTTTTTAATGTCATCATCTATAGGCAAGAATGCTATGGCTCAAGGGATTGGTAGATTTTTCACAGTCTAGTATTACTGTGTGTTTTTCCTGTCTGGTATTTCTCAGAGAGTTATTTTTTCTATGTTGGCAACAAAGAATAGAGACAGGATAAAGAAGAAAAAGGAGAAAGTAAGTGGCATTTTACAAACACTTTTTGCCACCTAATTTTACTTGATGTGGGCACAGCCCTAATCTGAGATTCATAATGTGCACATTG